ATAAACTAGATACATCAGTCAACCAATAAGGAATCTCCACACTTAATGGCTCTTTTGTTACTTCTCAAACCACTCCCTCTGGCATTTTGCCAGGCACCATCCAGACTTGTTTACGAACTCTAACATTCCCCTGGCAAAATGCCAGGTGTTATTTTGACTTGTTTACAGACTCTAACACTAGGGATGTTACTATGAGATACATGGGGTGGGAATGCAGAAACTATTGAAAGATAAGGGCAACTTTAGAGTGTGTTTATGCAAACTCCTTGTAGTTACACACAACTCATTGTGTAGTAACTTCACAATCAGCAGTAGAGGATTGGGAACATAACTCGGTGTCAGAGTGCTTGCCTATCATCTTGGTTCAATACCCAGCACTACAAAAAACAAAACAATTAATAATCAAATTCTTTTCTAGCTTTTGTATATGCAGGACATTCCTCACAAAAGAATCTTAATGACTTCCTACCTGTAGGAAAAGACACGAAAAGACATTTTTCTGTGAAACATTTTAAATTTTTTGAGTTTATAAGAAACACTGTGATGCATGTTGGTACATTATCTCTCTGGATACCTCTTTGATCACTAGAAGAGCGATTACATTGAATGATGCAAACACTTTTTTTTTTTTTGGCTTCTGAGAGACACAGCCAAATTACTTTTTACAAACCTAACACTTTATACCTGTCGATAAACCAAATATGAGTGACTTATTCATTTCTCATTTTTCTCTGTATCAATAACAAGTTATTTCAACATTACATACTGACTCATTCTTATTTTTTTTTCTCTGATCTATGAAGTAGTTCTTTCATACATTAAGATACCACAAGTTGCAGATCTGTTTTCTACAGCACCCTTATCAGAATACCATGCTGTCTAATTACTATGAAGCTTTAGAATAGAGCTCTTTGGGAGGGCAAGTTGTTCCGGCTTTTTCTTCTTTTTGAGTGGTTTAAATATTATTCATTGTTTTTTATATACATTTTAGAATAAATTAGGTTCGTGAAAAATTAAATTGATAATATTTTAATTTTTCAGACATTTTAAAATAGATTTTAAAATCTAGAATAGTCATAGATTTATAGAAAAGTTGCAAATGTAACAAATGTAACACATAGTTTCCATATTCTAGTGTATATTATACTTTGTATTACCATGTCATAGCAAATGAACCAACATTTGTATATAAAGTCAACTTCATAATAAGTTTTCCTTGAAAGTATGCCTGCAAAGAAATCATCCTGAAGAGAGGGACTGCCTAACATTTGGAATGGGGAGGAACTTCCTTAAATCTAAAATATATATCTACCAAGCAAAGAAAAAATGATAAAAAGAAAACACAGATATGATACCCAATTCAGAAACATGTTAAAAAAAAAAATGTTCATTCTTGCCATTTCTATAACATTGCATTATAAGTTCAGCTCAATAAAACAAGATAAAAAAATAATTTGTATAAGGAAAGAAAATGGCCATTCACAGGTGACTTAATAAACATCATAGGAGGGGCTGGGATTGTGGCTCAGTGGCAAAGTGCTTGCCTCACATATATGAGGCACTGGGTTCGATCCTCAGCACCACATAAAAATAAATAAATAAATGTATTGTCTCCATTTCCAAATAAAAAATATTTTAAAAAAAGATCATAGGAAACTAGAAGCTATAGATACAATCTAGAACTTAGGAGTTTTTATATAAATTGCTACTGTGCAGTGAGAATGGCTATATTACTTTGGCCAGCGTGATATAAGGTGAAGTGCCTTGTAACATTTTCAAAGGAACGTTTTTAAAGAGATTATTGATACATACTCTTTTCTCTTTTCTTCACCCATTATCCACTTCGCTGCTTCAAACATGGATAATGTCATCTTAGGCCTGAGCATGGGGTCTATCTCTGTAGAATGTCAGAGTAATGAGTGGGGAGGAGCCGGGTCCTGAGGGACTCGAGCAGACCACTTGTGCCAAGTCACATAGTTGGTTTTTCTCTTGTATAAAACCACCATTCTATCTTGTTTATGCTATTTTTACTCGTGCTTTCTCAGATTTGCTTCATTTAAGCAAGAAAAAGGAGAAATATAAATGTGTACATATATAGGCTCTAGTTTGGATCTGAAATTTAAAAGTATAGACTCATCTTAAAAACTTCCATTTGAAAAGGCCTGTGAGCCAGGCCTAAGGTGTCCTGCTCACATGGTGTTACCTAGGGAATCATTTCCCTGGGATTGATTTTTTTTTTTTTTTTTTTTTTTTTTTCCCCTCTTTTCCTGTGTTCAGTCATCAGTGGCAATCAGAGGACACTACAACATGATTTAAGCAGGCCCCTGTAAAGCATGCAGCAGCAGACCTTGTCACCATCCATGTGATGTTGGTTTTGCAGGCATGCAGAATGGAAGAGTTACAAGGTCATGGAGGCTTCCACTGAAATCTCAAACAGGTCTGGGAGGCTGGGCATATGCAGCAAGATCAGAGTCCTTGCCGGCAGCCTCTCAGAGGGCAATGCATGAAGCTAAGATAGTGAACACAAAGCTTTCGTGGAGCTCTTAAGAAGTTAGAGATGGCTAGGAACACAGGATACCTGCTGAGGGAAGCTGCAGGCCATGAGCAGAGCCAGCCCAAGAGTAGCCACAGTCAGCAATGTCCCAGTGGTAGGGCTGTCCAAGCCCTTTAGAAATTACATCATTCTACCATGTGCCTCAGATGCTGCACATACAGACTTAAGACTTAATGTTCTCCCTACTGGGTGTCAGTCTGGCTTTGATCCAATCCCCTCTTTCCATGCCCCTAATCCTCCCTTTTGCATGTCATTGTGTTTTGTAAATATGTTAATTCTCTCTCTCTCTCTCTCTCTCTCTCTCTCTCTCTCTCTCTCTCTCTCCCTCCCCCTCCCTCCCTCCCTCAGGAATTTACAACTAAGTGTTTGCTTTGAGTCTCAGAGGCGACTTTGGCTTTGGACTTTTGAGCATTATTGGAATTAAGACTTTGGGGTCTCTCAGAAATGCACTGAATGCATATTACAATGTGAGATGCTTATTAGCCTTTGGGTGCCAGAGGTAGAGAGCTATAGTTTGTATCTGGAATGTCCCCCCAAAGGCCCATGTTAAAGGTGTGGTCCCTAGCTTGGGTGCTAATGGGAGGTGGTGGGACCTATAAGAGGTAAGGCCTATGGAAAGAAGTTAGGTCATTGGGAGTATGCCCTTGGAGGGAATATTGGGACCCTATCCCATTCCCGTCTCTTTTATCTTCCTGGCCACATAACTTAATATTAAAAAATCAACCCCTAAATATAAAATAGATATAAACAAAATGTATTTCAAGTGATATTTTAATATAGCAATTTATCTCTGTATCCATTGTGTACTTTAAGAACAAAAGTAATTGAAAGAAACCTTAAAAGGCATTCAATAATTTTGCCATTGTTGGAAGTGCTGATATTATTATGGATTCAGGTGTAGATAATTGTGGGATAAATTTAGTGGGTTATTTATGTTGGTATAATTTACAATAAGGAGTGTGTGTGCGTGTGTGTGTGTGGATAGGAAGACATAAATTAGGATTGACAAAGTTAAATAAATGCCCTGTGGCCCTTATTTGAACTGGAGTTAAAAATGTGAATTTGCAATGTATTTTATCTTGAAGGAAGTGTTATTTAGTTCCGTCCATTGAAAATTCTTAATAACCAACCCGGTAATATGGAACACTCCTTGAGATAAAAGTCTTCTAAATACATTTTCCCTTTAAAATGTTACAAGGGTTACTTAAAAAACGGGTTGTTGCCATGTCGGGGGTAGAAAATGTGTGAAACTGGAATGTTTTATTTTTCTGGAAAGCAAAATAGTATTATTAACAATTCTACAAGAATCCAATCAAAACAAACCTGCACTAACCTGAACAGACCTTCACTAGCAAAAGAGGGTATAATCTATCTTATAGGATAAATAATTGCATATATGAAAGCATTCAAACAAGCTACTATTCATAAGCTCATCTTGATGCCAAAAGATAAAACAACATTCTTCGTGGTCACCTTTGGGAGTTGTTAGTGAAACCATTCTTAATTGGAAGGAAATAAATACATGGAAAGAAGCATCTATTTTTCTGTCTGTAATATTTCTCAAGATAAACTCATGAGGGCACAGAGAAAAATGTTGAAGGATAGTACAAGGGACATAAACGGCAAAATCCAGGCGATTGGGAAACTCTAAAGAATAACAACCTGGTTCTGTTTTTGCTTTTAGTGGGGAGGGGGGGGGGGAGTCTGATGCAGAGAGAATTTACAAATTTAGGAGCAACTAAAACTCAAATTGCAAAGTACAGGCCTTATTTAGATCTTATTTTAAAAAGAAGTGAAATAATCAGGGACTTTTTGGGGAAAAGTCCTTATTTAGAATACTGAAATATTTACCGATGAAATAACATGCTTAGGATTTACTTAAAAATCATCTGGAGGAGGAGAAGTGATCTGGGGATAGGGATGAGGTGAGATTGTCCGAGTAGATGAACAGATTGGGGATGAAAGTGGGTAATTTTCTACTATTAAATTCTCTTCTGTATGTGTTTGTGATTTTCTTTAATAAAGTAAAAATCAAAACAACACATTGATGCCCTGACCCCATCCCAGATTGCAGTGTGAATGGTCTATGGTGGGGTAGATCCCGAACAAAATGAGATTTTAAATTACACAAAAATCCACAGCAGCACTTTGAGACCAGTAGCACAGACTGAAGATACTGGAGGGAGGGAAGGCAGACTGTACTCTAGACCTGCTCCTGCATCCCGTCAGTTGGGTGAAACTAGGCAAATAACTTTGCATCATAGGCCCAACCTTCTGCATTGATACTATCAGGTTGTTGTTGTTTTTTTTTATATTTATAATATTTATTGGACTTTTGGCTTAATTCTCTATAACCTCAAAATAGTATTGTGAAATGAAATAAGATTTTACTGATACAAACAAGAACTGAACCAAGTATTTCTATATTTATATATTTTGCTTCTTTAAAAATATGGAATGCTTCACAAACTTGCCCATTCTTGTGCAGGGGCCATGCGAATCTTCTCTGTATTGTTCCGATTTTAGCGTATGTGCTTCGGAAGGGAGTACTTTGTATGTTTCTAAAGAATTCACTTGTGATGAGTAAGTGTTCAATATCGCATAGTTAGGAAATCATTATATTATTAAAACTTTGATTTTTTTTTTCTTTCTCTGTATGTCAGTCTTCTGAATGTTTCAGGACACTTGCAATTAAATTATACATTTAGATGATATCCTGGCTATAACATTAAAAATAATAAGATCTTCAACTAAACACATTTCCAAAATATTGCCATTGTGTGCTGAAGTTACTCTTTGAAGACTAAATGCTCTATTTAAATAAGTTAATGATTAGGTCTTTATATGCACCTGAGGTTCTATTTTTCTTCTAAACGTTCTTTTACTAATTTTTCCAAGGAGAAAAGATGCTCCTCTGCATCTTCTGGTACAAGGCTTCTAATAGAGTATCTTTTTGAGCTTGCAAATTCTATTTCTTCCACTTGGACCAGCTGCATTAAAAATTGTTTAGCACTGTCTTCCAGAGGAGCAGGACCAAGATAATTAGGATTATCACATGTTCCAATATATATAACGGCACACTGAATGGTTTTGTTGTGGGATCTTTTGGATTAAAAAATGACTGTTACCTTGACTTCAGAGAAAAGAGGCTATGTATGTTTTTACTGGTACTTTTCCTACTGGCAGTTTGTAAGCAACACCCCAAACACAACCCCCAGGATCTTCAATGAGAGTCACAACTCTTCCAGGCTGCCTGGAGTTGGGGAGCGGTCTGGGGGCTGTATGGGAGTTGACTGGCTCGTCACCTTGCCGGGGACCCCGGGTGGTCAGTGCTGCCCTGCCAGAAACGCCTGCTGTAGTCTGTGATGTATCCGACCAGCTTGTCCTGATAGGGGAAGTCCACCTTCCAGATCAGGGACCCATAACCAAAACCCACATCTTGCGGTGGCTTCTGGTGGTGGAAGGGCCAGCAGCCGCGCGGAGTGGCCGCCGACCCTTAGCTGTGGTCTTGGCGGCCGCCTGGGACTTACTATCAGGTTTTGGATGACTTAATTTCGAACATTCTTGTTTTTGCAGTGTCTTTGTAAAGAAGTGATTTGTTGAGTGACATTGGGATGCCTCATCTTACACTATTCCTGCATCTTTTAAGTTATTTTGTTTTCCAACCAAATAACCCCTCAGTGTTGGAATACGTGCATGTGCTTCTCATTGGAACTCAACCTAATTTACACTCACGCTGCTCACTGGGGGGCTGAGCTAACAATATCTGTCAGGCCCCACACACCAGCCCCTCTGTTCTTTCATTGTACAGATAGAGGGAGTCCTATTAGGAGTTAGGAAGTATAAATAATTAAGGAAAGCTTTTATAAACTGAAACAAAGACTTTTAAAAAAACAATAGGGTAAACCATGGTTTTTGTCCTTGTAGAATTTATGATTCTCATGTGGAGAGTAATGCAACCATAAATGCCATACCTTAAGGTGAACAGGTAGGGTGTATAAGGCATGGACATTTGGATCAGTGGGGCAGGGGTGGGATCCAAGGTTGGTCAACAAGGAAATGACAAGATAATTTTAGTATATTTGAAATATCTTTGAGGCAATGGTCTAAAGTGATATGAATTCAGAGAGACATCTCAGGTTGGTGATTTAGAGAAAGGATCTCTAAATGTTAAACTGTGTTTAAAAATGGATTCTGAAGAAAGCTATTTGCCCTCGTTCCATATTCCTCATTTGTAAAGTGCAGATCATGACAGTAGGGTAATGATCACAAGGTTATTTTGAGGATAAAATTAAGTAAAAATTGAAATTAAATAGTGCCCCTCTTAGAGTAAGCACTGTTATTATATATAATAAAAAATTGTTATGATTATTAACTTTATGGTTTAAGCTACTTTCAGCCAGTATCAATTTTGAGGATTTCAATTTTGCTACACTTAATAAAAAATTAAAAAGGGGAGCATATAATATACCTCCCTCATATATGAAGAATTGTAAAATAAGGAGAATGTGCAAAGCAGAGAAAATAAATCTGAGGGGGGGAAAATGGCAACAAATGGAGACAATTATACAAATGTTCCTGGAGGGAATTCACATTAGGTTGAAAATTATGATGAGTAATTTAATTTGACATATTTTAATCAAATGTCCCAAATTAGAAAAACCCGGCTAAATATACCCATGATGAAATCTTGTCAGCTGGAAATGCACAAATATATTATAAAGAAACAGGCATCCTTCTTTATTCTAAAACAGATGTTCTGAGTTTTGAAAAAAAAAAATTCTGGTGCCAACATATCACTTGAGAATATAAAAAACGCCCCCCCCCCCCCCTTTCATGAATGGAAATCTGCTCCCCTAACAGAGCCCTAGCTTCCCTGGCTCATGCTTGGGAGAGTGCTCTCAGATGGCTGGAGCCTGAAAACATGAGACACATCTTCTTTTAGGAGGTTAAATCTTGCCCTAATTAAAGAGTACTCACCACAGGCCCAGCCAATCATAACAAACACATGTGGCAAAATATTTGAGATGGAGGAGAAACTTATTCCTGGGGGGCCTTTTGAATCCCCCTGGGGTCATAGAAGAGGCACACTAGAGGAAAGCAAATGTTCTCTGGCCCTTCCTGGATAATTGAAGCCTTAATTATATTAAATAAAGCAGCCACTGAGCTGTTGGTCAAAGCTACGTGAGGATGCCTTTCTTCTAGGGCCACATCTCAGAGACGTGTTCATGAACTTCTTGAAGGATGGTGCAAGAACATGCGGCCACCTTTTGATGGAAATGAATTCATGGAAGAAAAGAAAAGCCATCCTTTGGCCACCTCTGAACACTTGACTCACACTTTCTTTTTTTCCTTTAAAAAAATTAATTTTGCTTCTTGAAGCATAAGGAACACAGACAAGGTCAGGATCTTATTGAACTTTTGGAACAGGGGCTTTGATCAAGAAGGCTGTCCTTGTTCATGGTTAAGCTCTTAGTTTAACAACCTGAGTTTTAATGGCTTGTTTATGAAAAGTCAAGCTTCCTCCTCCTAGTCCCTCCTCAATCTCTATAATCATCTAGAGGTTTTCAGCACACTGAGGAACATCTTGTACTTTATTACTGAAGAGGAAGATGATTTAAAAATTACATGCTCACTTGTACTCTGTGATTTTCTTTTTTTTCTCTAAGCAATAAGACTTCAACAGGAAACTGAAGAGTGTGGTGTGATTTGTGGGGCGCAAGGTCTCTGGGTTATGAATGATGTTCATTTCTTTAGTGTAACTCTATTAAAATACATACACAGCACAGAGAGCGGGTAGGGTTGTTGACAGGCACTGTTCGGGGATCCATCTAACAACAAAGTGGTTGTGAGCATAGAAACCTGGGAAGGGTTCTGGAGAGGGCAGATCCAGAAGTCCAGGGATAAAAGTCTTTAAAACCAAGTGGAACATTGCAGTTTTGCCAACAGCCCCACTGATTTTCTGTTTTTTCTTTCTCCTGCGTCTTAATATATATATACACACACACACACACACACACACACACACACACACACACACACATATATATATATATATAATTTGTTGATAGACCTTTACTTTATTTATATGCAGAGCTGAGAATTGAACCCAGTGCCTCATACATACCAGGCAAGTGCTCTCCCATTGAGCCCCAGCCCCTCTCCTGTTTCTTGCCCACCCTCTTTTCACCTTCTCCATGTATATCACAACTCACTTATTTTGTTCCCACCTACCTCCATAGTTAGTCACCTGCCCCTTTGAATGTGATGAGTGTCTTGTGGTCAAATCATTCTGGAACTGTGGTCATACAGGCCTATGCTAAGGTTGAGCAGAGGGAATGAGCTACCTTCTAGGTCTTTTTAGTGAATTCATCTTGTTTCCTTTTCAGCTGTGTGGACTCCCTGACCCAGAAACTCAGGAATAGATATTATATAGCACATTGTGTCCTGAAGATAAAGGTGATTTGATGTGATTATGATGATGGTTATGATGGTAATGATGATGATGTGATAGTAAGTTCTTATTAGCTAATCAGCTATCTGTCAGGTATCCTGCTAAATTCTTTAAGTGTACTAATTTTTAAAACTCACAACTGGTCTGATGAGTGTAGGAACTATTATTATTTCCACTTTCCAGAAGAGGAAAGTAGGACACATGGAGATTAGATCATATGAGTTGCTCAGCATTGCACAGGAGGAAAGGGTTGGAGCTGGGATGTGGGCTCAGCCTGTGTAGTTTTGGAGTTCGTCCTTCTACCCAATTTCCTGTTTGACTTTTACTTATAGGTTCTCAGTTGAAAAAGCTAAAAAAATTTAACATCAGAAAGTATGGACTTGTTTTATGCAACCTGGTTGGAAAGTAAGTGTGTGTGTGTGTGTGTGTGTGTGTGTGTGTGTGTAAAAAATATATATAAAATATATAAATCTGCCCTTCTTGAGGACACCTCAAGATCACTTGCAGAGTACTAGGGTCCATTTATGAGGGTGTTGCTTTCTGTTGGCATTAGCTACTCCTATGTTCTGCCGCTTGAGTGTGCCTGTGATACAAAGGGTCAGTCTATGAAAACTTCTGGGCGTTGCTTGTATCTCTCCCCATTAAGAATGGCTGTCTTCATCCTACACTAAGAGGGTATCTGGGATCAGGGATGTAATGTCTCCCCGATGAATAATACACTTGTCTCCTCCTGAGCTCCTGTGTTCTGCTTCTGCCCGGATGACACCAATCCTGCTTCTTCACTTTGGGTGACTCATCTCGGTTATCCTTTCAGTCCTACTCATGAGTAGGTGGATGTTTTGTTCCAATGGAACCATTTAACTGCCTTGAATTTTCTTTAATTCACTGCTATGAAGTGCTGAGTTACTTTATACAAACTAAGAACCAACACATACAAAGAAATAACACAGCCCCAATACTTACCATATACTTTCCATTCATGAAGATCTATGTATGTTTATCATTTTTCGTATGTATAGTAGCAGGTACAGACACCAGAGAGATCTCCATTAGAAAAGAGAAGGATAGAAGACACCTTGGAATAGCTGAGGACAGC